TAAGCTTGTTTCACTTGTTATTGTACCGCTGCCTCCTTATCGATTGCTTTTTTGGGACATATAAGTCGATCACGCTGCTATCGCCAAGGGGGAGAAAGACCTCAGCACTCTTCAGGAGAGAGACGACAAGATGAAGGGAATAATCGCGGAATATATTGAGACGGATAAGTGTCTCAGGGCAAAACACGCTGAGTTAATGACAAAAAAGGTTACTAGATTCCAGTGTCTTGAGGACGTCACCTCGCTGACCCTTGTCTCTGTTTGGAATGATTCTATATTACGATCATATTCAGAAAAGTCGAGAGGCGACTGAAGAGAAGCACCAGTGCTATCAATCAGACCCTATGCTATCAGAATTATTGTACCAACAACAGCTTCACCTCTTAATCATTCTCTTTTTCCCCATCGTCTCTTTATAACACTTTATGTTTTGATTTGCATCAGAGACACATCGATTCAAAATAAGTTTCATAATTCATATTCTTCTGTTCAAATAAACACGATACTGATGTTAAAAAAGAAAATCACAAGTTGTACGATCAAAATGATATCAATGGCATTACCCAGCTTTTGTCACAAGTGACGCTTTGATAACGCTAGCCTTAAATCGCGACAGCTTATTATGAACCTAATGATCAACCTAAATCTAAGATAATGTTAAGAGACCGTTAACAAGTTTTGGATCTTTGATTGCTGAAAGAGCTGGATGGAAAGATGTTTCGCAAGTTTTAAGAGTCTCAAGTAAACAGAAAGAACGGAAAGGTTTTCTACGTGCTAAGCCTGTCTCAAAGCATCAATTCAAGTCTCAACATCAAAGGACAGATACTAACACACTTTCTATGTAAACTACAAAGAGTAAGGTAATGCAGCCAGAGTCAATCAAAAATGATACATCTAACATTGTATACCTGACCCAATAAACAGTCTCAGTCTTTTCAATCCTAGATACCTCAACTCTAGCCCTTGACACATTAAAATATACAGTCCTGTAACACATCTATTTAAGTGCTTCATAAATCTTCAATAAAATTGATTCTGAGGTCGAGGTGGCTGGTACAATAGATCAACTGTTTTTGAATATTCTCTTCAATCTCTTTTGAATGTTCTTCTACTGATAATTCAATTGATCCTACATTCTCTTTTGCACAATATACATAATGTTGCCATAATTTGTTTTGTCTTTGAATAAGTAAATTTGTTGTAGCTAAATGATCTTTGGCTAATTTCTTTCTCGCTTCAAGTGCTCTTTTTCCTCGTTCTACAAGGATCTCTCTTTCTAACTTGTGAGCTCGTCATGAACGTAAAGACTCAAGCTCAGTAACGACAATACTGATCGGTTCTTGAAATCGATTAGTACCAATGATATCTTCTAGGTATTTTAATAAACCTTCTTCATGCTCTGTGACTGCCTTTGGTTTCATTTGTGCAATGGATTCCACTTCACCTTGTAGTATCAAGAAATGTTTGTGGTCGAGGTCAATTCCCTTGTCTTTCAACATAGTCGTTACCTCGGTGAAATTTGAAAGTCCACTGTGTTTTAGATTGGAACTCACAAATCAGTCAAGTATAAGTTATCATCTTAAAGCTTGTGTACTGACTTTATTGTATATTTTGAGTGATTAGACTGTGTTGCAGTACAAGCCACAACCAATGCAGAGTTTGGAACAACAGTATAGTCATCTGCTCCTTCTTATTGAAACAAAGTGTTTAAAAAAACGGGCGCATCATCAATTAAAACTTCTTTCTACACCACTAGTTGATTACACTTTCAAGCCTACCCGATCAATAATATTTCGAAACCAAACTTCAACTGAACATGATTCAAATCCACCACTCGGAGAGGCCAAACAATTATGAATCAGTTCTGAAACTAAGGATCGAAATGAATAGATTCCGATGAGTGGAATTCAATGACCATCTTGATCTGTTGATAGATTCATATGCAGGTGTAGATTGCACTCAACGTTTTCCTTGTCTCATCTTATTAGCTTTGAATCCAAAGACAAAGCATAACACGTTGATAGTCTTAGATTTACCGGATCCGTTGAGTCCAACAATAGCAGAAAAAGCCTAAACACAAGGTAAAATCCACACTAGTGAGTCAGATTATCCCAATTCCTGATCAAATATAAATCACAAATTCACAAACTTTATGAAATGGTCCAATGACTTGTCTCCCAGCATAACTTTTGAAGATTTTAATACGATTTGATGAATCACCAATCTTGGTTCACCTACACGTGTAATTGTATCCAAACTCATCTTCATTGGTGGTAAAGGTGGTGGTCTAGCTATCGGAGGAGGTGGTGGTGGTGTTGCAGCACGCATCTGTAGATGGATCATTACTAACTGGGTCAGGGTCATCAGAGTTTTCTAAATTACGGGCTTTCTTGGATGAAGGTTCTTCTAGAACCTCGGCCTCGTCATTTTCGCCAGTCTCATCATTTTTACTTCGATTTTTTACTTCTTGAACTTGATCTTTCGAATTTTGATTTAGTATCAACCGGGTTTGAATCCGCTTTGTCTTTCAAAACCGCATGTAATAGAACCTTGAGTGAATGAGAAAAGTAAACGAGTGATGAATAGTAAGTCGCAAAACAAATTGCTTCGGGCATTTCAGTGCGAGTTGAATGGAATCAAAAGATGTGATGCATGAAAAGATGACTAGCTTTTGATCACAGGATGCACTAAGAGAGTCGGTGGGATTTGTTCAACTTACGTTTGCAGTAATTCAAAACATTGCAAAGTCGAATGATTTGCGAGTTGTCTTCGGTCCTTGATGCATTCAACGAACCCAAATCTTTTTACCATCCCATCCCCCAAGCAAATTGGCGAATGTGTTTTTATTTGGATCCGACTGTCGTCCTGCCCAATGAGATTTGATGTGATCCGCCAAGATCTGGAAGTCGTACTTGACTTCATCTGCTTCCGACTTCCCAGGTCTCAAAAGCACCACTTTACCATTGATTAAATATGTGATGGTAGCGTGATTCAGATTGTTAGATGGATCACCGAACCGTATTTAAGATGTATCAAATGAGGAGAAACAGGGAATTTTTTTCGCGGTTCATCAGGATTTGGTACGATTAGATAATGGATGTGTATGAATTGGGTGACATTAAAGGTGTGACACAAGTGTTATGTGTGTGTCATATTGTGAGATGTCTGGGTCTCAGCATCTGAGACTCAGTCTTGACTCTTGGGCCTCTCAATATCCTTATGTTCCCTAAAGTTTAGAGGATTGGCTGAACGTGCAGGGCTGTTCATTGGGACTTATTGTGCTAAGGTGGTGAAACCATGCATATCTGAGCTGCTCAGATGGAAATCAATTGCGATGCAGGCTGGAGACAACTGCAAGACTCTGACCCCCCTGGACGTCAAGGGGGGATCTGGCGGTCCTTGTGATACAAACCTTTTTCCAGGTTAACCATGAAGTGGTCATCAACAGATATATTGTCAATCACAATCCAGATAATACTTGTGTCATAGTCAACATATGTATGTATCACACTTTCCCCAGTTCACATCTTTTGTCTTGTCCTTTTTATTCTCTGGCATTAGGCTACTGGAATTAACCTGACTACCAGTTGTGCAAGCAACACAGGTTCTTCTTCTGCTGTGAAGTTGAAAGACACTGTTATGACTCCTTCAGGAAGAGCCTTGTTAGTTTACAATTAATCCTGTTTGCTTCTTGACAATGCTAATTTTTGTGCACCTTCATATAGTTCCAAGACAACTAAGACCACACCTGATTCCACTGTCTACCCTTCACCTGTTGAGGACAAAGAAAGCCCACTTGGCAACTTGCTTAAACCTTGAACTATGTGTCTGCAAATGTTGTAAAAATGCCTCTGTGCATCATATAAAGTTGCCAACATTCTAATGCACTATTGCACCACCAGTTTTGTTGCTCTCCTATGTTTTGTAAATTGTACTTGGTGCTAATGTCACTATTTTTTGTATTAAAGTTTTCTCTGGTATCATTTTGTTTCACGCATCTCCAGCTTTCTAAAGTATGTATTCCAAACTCATACACCCACTGAAATTCCCAGACAGGAAAGTTTTGAGAGCAAAATCTTGGTGAACATGACATTTTGAATTAGTTTCTACAATTTTGGTATGTATGATTTAGTAGCAAGAGGGCACAATTGTATGATGATTCCCCTGTTGCAGGCATGCCCACATATTCTCTAGTAAAAAAAAGAAAATAGAAGATATAAAATAAGAATATATGAAAAATAACCTGGCATAATTGACCTTGTCCAAGGATTCCAAAAAATGACCAAGACACATAAAAAACTGCCCATTTTGACAAACGAAGGGAACAAACAGGGTGGGAAGGCTACAAAATGAATTAGGAATAACATAAAAATTGGGTTGTGAACACAATGGGTAAATATTTGGTGAGATGGTCAACAGCTGGAATGACATCATCTGTGGTTGAACAAAATGAAGAATAGATACCTGACCCGCCAGCAAATGTACATGTGCATTAGAAGTTTGAATTTATCCATATTCCCATGGGTTAATGATGTTATCAACAACTATCAATAGACCAAATAGGAGTGAGTGAGATGAACCCTTCAAGAGGTCTATGTACTTACCTTGCAGTGCAATCTTTGACTCGTGATTGATCAAAGATCTTCACCACTAGACTCAACTTCTTCATACCAATTCTCAATCCATAGTACCACCACTTAATTCTGAGCATGTAAAGACACATCATCTAATCAACAAAATTGTAAACACTTTTGTGATCTTCTCCCCATGATTTTGAATCACTCAATCTCACTTTGAAACTCAAATAAATATATACAAGAACTGATAAAAGCATCATTTCAAACATTCTCAACCATTGATCATATCTTTCTTCTACAACATCATAACTCTCTTTAACAATAATATCACTTGATAACACGTTTTGAGATTAATGAATTGAAAGATTTTGATTGAATTTTGATTGATTGAGTAAGTAGGTAGGTAGGTATGAATCGTATGAATCATGCTGGAAGTCCTCTAGGTCCTAGGAAAGATTCTCTGGCTTTTTGTCGGTCTGCGTCTGAAAACATAGTAGGCTGAATTGGTTGAAAACGAAATCAAAACTTCGCTCAATAGAATGATCATGATCTAGAAGATAAAGTTGAACGTTGTTGGAATTCTTACAGGAATGTTTCTTTCCCATTTAGTGCCATCTGCTGCAGTTGGGGCTATAAAACAATCAAAGAACCATAAATGGTTCGATCAATATTTTGATATTGATTGCTATAAGATAACAAAATTGAAGTAAAGTCCAATCAAGAGCTTACGACGATATGGTTCCGGGTGTTCCCATTTAGCAATTTCGAGTTCTGCTTCATGTAATAACTTGCTCACCGCACGTGGGTCTCTAACATCTCTATTCCTTTCAAATTTAACTCTAATTTCAATTGCCTTTTGTCTCCAAATATCACGAAAGACAACCTAACGATGAGAAAATCAAAAATTAGTCAAATTAGTAAACAATAAGCTCCACAAATTTAATCAGAAAGGTTTTTTGAGAATTTACCCAGTCTAGTGATTGTTTTAATGCCTTTCGGTAAAGTCTCTAGACGACGTAATCATAAATTTCACTTTGCTCAGCCTCTCCATGTAGTAATAATAATGAAAAGAGAAGGTTTGGAGCAGACCTGGACGTGTGATCGATGAGCTTCGGTAAAAGGTCGAATCAGATTTGTTAATGATGACGACGACATGATGATGATTTGATAGTGTTGGAGATAGGAAGAATGAGGCTTGGGCTGGCTTGGGTCGATCAAGGTCTGAGTTCGATAGAGTTCGACAGTTGAAGTGGAGTGACTCAAGTTGAAAGATGTGATAGCTCTGTAACATCCAAGACCTTGGATCGGAAGCTTGAGTTTCACGGGCTATACATCCAGCCTTGATATGCTGTGACATGTGGTGATATTCTTCAGTCAACTCAAAATCAAATCGCAGCAAACCTCAGCATCAACATACGATACAAGACCACTTGCCATCGATAATTCATAGTGAATCGAGTCAAACGTGAAATCTTCAAACTGAATCTAGGAACAGGAAGAAAGGAATACATCGAAATCGAACTCGCGAGTTGCTGAAGATTTCTTGAAATGTCAGCGCGAAGCTTGATTTTCCAATGTCTTTTCAAGGCTCAACTTCGACGGACTTGTTCCGAAAGGATACCTACTATCAACAAAACTTATGGATCTCTAGGAAGGCCAATGACTACAAATGCCATCAATAAAAGTGGTGAGTGACATTTTGAATAGATTAAAAAGAGAGGAAGTGGCTTTTACTGACGTTCAAATTTATCACAGCTACTTTAGAAACATCAACCTCATCAACCATACCCCAAATCAAGTCCTATCCATTTTCCGATTCAGTAAAAATCACAAATGAATCAATCCCTACAGATTCAACTATCGGATTAATGCAAATGATACAAAAGAAATTCATTTCAACTTCAGTGAATACTGAATTTCATTCATTATTTCAAAAGAATCATCCAAATGCACTTAGACCATTATCAATCATTCAAGTTGAATCATATACAAATTCAAGTAGAACAAGTACGAGTTTATTCACAGGAGTTCTAATGGCAGTTAAAAGACGTGGTACAGAAACAAGTTTTAGACTTAGATGTTTGATTGAAAGAGTAGGAATTGAAATCAAATTTAATGTGTTTAGTCCAATGATCAAAAATATTATTGTGGTTAAAAGGTCAGGTGAAATTGATGATAAAAGAGGTAAAATGATGATACAAAAACCAAGAAGAGCTAAATTGTTTTACTTAAGAGATCAACCTCAAAAATTACCTGATATTAAAAAAATCATTAAAGCTGTTTCAATCGAAAATCAAAACTTACGTAAACTTAATGAAGAAAAAGAAAAGGTTGTAAATTGATTTAATTGTGGTTTTATGTTCTTGCAATTAAAAAATTATGCGTGTTAAACTTTAATTTAAATGCTTCTCGATACTTGGGTGGTTTTACCTTTCTATTTCAGTCAGTGTTATATTGTAACGTAGGTTTGGACGCAGTTGAAGTAGGTGATACATTCTTCAGTAAGAATGTCGGTCTCTATTGTACACGCAGTTACGTTGTGTGGTGCGGGTCAATTTTATCATCATCTGTACCTCTCGACGTATGAGGCTGGGGTAAACGACGACTGATCAGTGAGGATTTGGCCTTGAATTTTCACTGGGAGAGATAGATTTTAACCCAAGAAAGATTTTATCTAGGAATACTAAAGAAGTAGCTTTTAAAGCGACCTTCTTTTCTGTATCCCAAACTATTGCTCCTTCATTATTGTTTAAATATGAGAGAAAAATAGCTGGACACGCTTGAGGTTTGAGCGTCGAATTTGGTTTTATAACGTGAAACCACACTTGACAACCAAATGAATGGAACGTGTGTTCTTGACGTTTACAAATATCCATAAGAGAAATCAGAGATTGGAATTTTTTGTCCGTTCTAGTCGGCATGTTATTCAGCGTTTCAATACAGTCAACTCCCTCGAAACCCATACCCATTTATGGAAACCCAAAACTATGGGTTTTATGGGTGTATGGTTTTGGAGGATCTCCCTCAGAACCCATAGATTAAGGTTTAGCAGGCAAAGTATGGGTCGAGAGGGAGATTTTTTTTAAAGAGTTGTTCAGAAAATTCATTTCTATATTGTTGTGCGATACAACAGCAGTAATAACATTGAAGACTATTGTAGTTATTTCTTATTAAAGAAGTCAGATACCGAAGCCTGCTTTAAAGAGCGTGTATGAACCATACGAAAATGTCTGGTAGCAGCACAAATGGCAGCTTCAAAAGACTTCGCTTCGGATGTATCTGCATGCTTAAGAGCATCCACAACGGTCCACCTACTTTGCGGGCCCCCAGCGATGTAGGGGGTCAAAACGCAAAAAAACGCTCCAACGGAGCTCGCACAATCGGGGGTGAGACGTCGGGGGCCTCCAGATTTCCATCCGGACCCCCCACATCTGCGAGGTCTATAGGGGCTCCCAATATCACGTGCCACTGCTTCCACGTGACCGATATAGTCACGTCTCAAACCGCACTCGAAACAAGATGATATGGTACAAGCATACCATATCACTCAATCGAGTTCTGGCCCCTGACTTCAAGTGCACCGCTGTGGACACCTGTTTTTTTGACCCCCTACATCCACAAAATCAGGATCGGGGGTCTGTTCCAGGGCTCGCAAAGTAGGTGGACCGTTGTGGATGCTCTAACATACTCGGAAACAATGGAAAGAGATTGTTTGAAGGCGGAGTAGCTCGGGCGAGGAGGGGAAACCTCTATGATATCGGACGCGGTATCGTGATCTTCCTTAGTGTCTCGTTGAGTTATCGATTCAAATATTTCATCTACAGTTACGGGATACAAAGTTAAAACTGGGATTTTTTTCCCAGTTTCCCAGTTTTCATTTTTGGCTGTGTTTGGAACTTTCCCACGTTCTCTCAGTTTCCCAGTTTGCGCAAACACAGCCAAAAAGTCCGAATTGGGAAACCCGGATTTGTTCCGGGTTTCTAGTTTGTATCCCGTAAGTCCATTGCTCTAATCCACTAGAGTGCTCTCCCTGAGGATTGAGAAGCTCAGCAATCGACATTCGGTTCCGTTGATTAACAAGGTTGAGCTGTTCAAGCTGGTCGAGATCTTCAGCCAACAGAGCCTCGGCTTCAGAATCCAAGACCTTTGAAAGGTTCATGTCGGAGTCTGATTGGAGGCAAGTAGGGCCGTCCTTTACCGATCCATCGGGATTTCGAGGTGAGATGATCCCAGTCTTACGGAAGCAATTCGATATTGTGCTTTCAGTGACACAGAACCAAGCATCTTGAGCCAATTTCATTGCATCGAGTTGATGTATCTTGTAGATTTTGGCAATCGGGACCTCTGAATCATAACGCTTCAGTGAATAGTTGATAAAGTTTGATTGGTAGCGACACTTGAATGTGGCTATTATTCCAGCATCCAAGGGTTGAATATGAGAAGTTAGATTGGGTGCGAAGAATTCTAAACGGATGTTTGTGAGCTTGTACTCGGGAGGCTCTCCATGCCCGCTGAAGTTGTCAACTAGTAGGAGGATGTGTCGTTTTTGAACCGCAAGATCTTGGTCCCACTTCGTTATCCAGCTACTGAACAGCTCAAAAGTCATCCATGCTTTGGTGTTGTTGCGGTAATAAAAACCAAGACTCTCGCCACTTTTCTTGTTGAAGCATGCAGGCTTGTTTGCCTTGCCAATAATGAAAGGTTCAATCTTTTCACCTTCGGCACTAGCAGCAAGGGCGTAAGTCAATCTTCGCTTATCACCTTTAACCCTTGATGTTGGACCAAATGCAAGACCTTTGTCTGGGGGCATGCTAAAACATAAGCAGGTGATTGTTATCAATCAACGTTACACTGTATACATATGTTAAAGAGATAAGATTTGAACCAACCCGTAGAAGAGACCAGTCTCATCCATGTTCCAAATATCTCGTGGATGGTAAAGGTTGGTAATTTCTCGGAGGCGTTGACGCTCGGCAGCAACAGTATTGGGAAGGACGGAGCCTGCTTCTCCGTGCTTTCTTATGTGGCGTAAACCGTTCCGAGTCTTGAATCGAGTGAGCCATCCCTCACTAAGAGCAAGCCAGTCTTGTTCAGAGATTTTGAAGAGTTTAGCGAATTCACACCACTTGGCTCGTATCACATCGCCTGTGATTGTTAAGCCTGCAATGACAGCCTGTTGAACCCAGGCTTGAAGTGCTTCATCAACCTGTGGATGCTCGGCTGTGTTCTTTCGAGATCCAGTGTGACCAGCTCCATGATTCTGTCGAATCTTGTCCTTGTCTCGGACCCATTCTGAAACGAGTGGTTGCTTGATATTCAAATTGGGATAGATTGAAGCAAAGTGACGCGCAGTCTTAGATTGATTGCAACCATTCCGTTCGTACCAATCAAGGACTTCAACTCGCTGAGCCAGAGTTGATTGAGACTTTGTTGATTTATTCTTTTTACTTTTTGGTGGGGTATCTTTGCCTTTACTTTCCTCAGCTACACGTTTCTTGGAGCCTAAAACGTTGAACAACACATCTTTTCAGCAAGTGAACAACTCAATTACAGCTTGAAGGTTACAGCTTACTTGGTTTTTTGGCAATCACTGCTTCCTTTGTCAGATTGAATTTCAAAATCAAAACTTCAAGTCTGTTCAGCTCATCCTTGTTGAATTGACTGGCAGCCTTAGCCACATTTCCTTTGTCTTTGATCTTCCTCAATACAAGTGTTTCATCTATTAAGTTTCCAGCGCAGTCTATGAATCGTTCATCCGCCTCCAACAATTTTTTCCCTTCACTCATAAGTTGCTTGAGAGGCTTGAGTCTTTTGTTGTTCTCTGTTTGTAGGGCATTGAAACCGGTTTCAATATCTGATACGCTGAATTGTGAAAGGTCTTTTGGAAGCATTTTGAGACTGATTAAGCTGAAAAATACACAAGGATGCAGATTTTTTTCATAAATCTTCAGCTTTGGCAAATTTTGGTTATGGCTTTTGACCTCAGGTTTCCCAAAAAAAACTATGGGTTAAGGGAATAGTGGGAGGTATGGGTTTTGGGCCACTTTTCCCCGCCCATAAATTTTATGGACCCAAATTTCTATGGGTTAGCCGGAAGTATGGGATTAGAGGGATATGGGTTTTGAGGGAGTCGACTGTAGCGTATTCCAAAGCATCACCCCAAAATGATTCTGGCAAACCAGACTCAATTAAACAACACCATACTTTTTCTTTCACAGTCCTGTTACATCTTTCAGCTACACCATTCAGTTGTGGCAAATCCAGAGGTCCAGTTGTTTGCTTTATTCCTTTCTCCGCACAGAATGTAGCAAAGTCCTTATTAATGTACTCAGTTCCATTATCAGATCTCAACTCAGCAATAATCCCATTCACTTTTGTTGTCATTTCATTATAAAACAATTTGAATTTTGTCAAAACTTCATCTTTGGATTTCATTAAATAAATTTTTGTGAACCTTGTATAATCGTTGATAAAAGTTACAAAATATTTAAATCCTTTTTGAGTTACAACAGAATACGATGACACATCAGAATGGATAACACTAAGGGGATTTTCAGACCTCCACCCTGCCCAACTCGACATATTACAACGTCTCATCTTGCCCTGAATACAAACCTCACATGAATGCAATTTTTGTAACTCCGCTTCATCAACTTTGATGTTTGATGAACTGAGCTTCTTTTTCAGAGCCGCATAACCAGGATGGTTAAATCTGAGATGCCATAGATGAACGTCAGAAGTCAATAGAGATGTTCTTATCAGCCAATTTTGAAACCAAAAGAAGAGGTTCTGATAACAATATAACGCAAAGTGATTTGATGTCATCGAATTCAGAAAACAGAAGAGATACCAGTCCTTTCAAGATGGCTCTGACATTTGACCCATTAGCAAGACTTATAGTTGTATCATCAGGCTTAGTACGTTTCAGTGCATCAGAGTATGGTGTCATCATCTGAGAGGTTCCAGAGTCTACCAACCAAGCATTACTTCTCACAGCAGAGGCTTTGACTAGTGCTGCCGACAAGATTTCAGAATTAATATCAATTGATTTTTCTGAATCAGATGAGAATTGCAGAGTCGCAGCAGCTTTTGCTTTGGCCACCTTGGATTGTTGAACCTGTTTTTTTGTAGGCTTTGTTTTCGGCACATTAGTTTTCTTTTCAGATTTAAGAATCTCATACTTGTCAAGCTTCAATTTTAGAATTCAACAATCATCAATGATATGACCAGCTTTCAAACAGTGAGAGCAGATGGTTTCCTTCTCTTTAGATTTATCGTTCTTAGCTGAAGATACAATTTCAATGTCTTCAGAAGATATTGACCGTTGAGTTGCTTCTTCACG